CGCGCGCGGGCGGTGGCCTGCAGGGGTGAGGAGGCGCCAGAGCGCGTGCACGGGGAGGCGGCGGAGTGCCTGCTAGGCTGCGCTGCCCGGCCAGGGGTCACTCGGTGCGGCCCGCAGCGTCCTCCTGCCCCCCTCTGACCGACTGGTGGGGCCCGACGCAAGTTCCTGCGTCCAGACGGGTCCACCGAGGCGTGATGGAGGCCCGAGAGCTCGGGCCGACTTCCGAGAGGCCGGACGGCCGCAGACCTGTGACATGAGCCGCACGCGGTCACCAGCTACTCAGGCGGAGCAGTGCTGTGTGTTCTTTATGAGGTAAAGTAGGAAAATACATGTTACGTAAAACACTGTTCAGGACACAAACTCTGCTACGATTTTGAGTCCACCAGAAAAAATAATGCCTGTGGAGAAAATAAAAGGTAATGACTTACTAAGCTCTTTAGAGCTGCTTGTATTTTTAAGGAAAATATTTGGAAAACGAAAGCTTACAAATAATGAAACGGATTTCTACTGATAGAATTTCAGGTGCTGCACGTCAAAGATGGGGCCTGGGGCAGAGGCAACCCCGTGCTCCCCCAAAAGCCCCCCTGCTTTCTCTGGGGAGGGAAATGTGGTGTCATCGGAGCGGGCGCTGTTGTCTCTCCTTCCAGCACGTGGAGGATGACTGACCATCACCATCTGCCAACTCTAAAGCTGGTTTGTCCCCATCACATGGGGTTGGCCAATGACATGTGGCCAGGGGAGGGCGGGGACACTTCTGGACAAAAGGACTGAAGGCCACCATGGGATGGGATGTGCTTTCTAGAACTCTGTGCCACAGGGACAGGCAGTGCGTGGTCGGGGAGGCTCCTCAGGGAGGGCCTGGACAGAGCCCCAGAGGAGGTCCGATGGATAGTGTACAGGAAGAAAATGTCAACTTTTCTGACTTCAAGCCTCTGAGACTGTGACGGTGCTTGTTAACTGCAATAGCCTAGCCCATCTGACTGATCTAGAAAAGAGCACTCAGAAGGAACTCATTCATAAGAAGCAGAAAATTTCTCACACTCACTATCTGAGAGTCTTCTGGCCCTTAAACTGAGTACATAAAAAAATGCACATATTTCAAAATTTCAAAACTACTTCTTCATTTTTAGTTAAAACTCAAAAATTGTTTGGAAAAAACAGTAGGTAAGATAAAGAAAAATGTGGTGTACACACACACACAGAATGGACTATTAGTCATCAAAAAGAATGAAATCTTGCCATTTGCAACGACGTGGATGAAGCTAGAGGGTATTATGCTAACTGAAATAAGTCAGTCCGAGAAAGACAAACACCGTATGATTTCACTCATGTGGAATTTAAGAACAAACAGATGAACAAAGGGGAAGAGATGGAAAAATAAGATAAAAACAGAGAGGGAGGCAAACCATAGAAGACTCTTAACTATAGAGAACTGAGGGCTGATGGAAGGAGGTGGGTGGGGGATGGGCTAGATGGGTGATGGGCATTAAGGAGGGCACTTGTGATGATGAGCACTGGGTGTTACATGTAAATGATGAATCACTATATTTTACATACATAAAAACTAACTAGAATTTAAATAAAAACATGAAACAAAAAACAAAAGAAGATAGAGAATTCAGGGGCGCCTGGGTGGCTCAGTTGGTTAAGCAACTGCCTTCGGCTCAGGTCATGATCCTGGAGTCCCTGGATCGAGTCCCACATCGGGCTCCCTGCTCGGCAGGGAGTCTGCTTCTCCCTCTGACCCTCCCGACCCTCCCCCCTCTCATGCTCTCTCTCTCTCAGTCTCTCTCTCAAATAAATAAATAAAAAATCTTAAAAAAAAAAAAAAAAGAAGATAGAGAATTCAGGCCCTTAGAGGTCTCAGAGAAGGAAAATAAGGAGCTGGCTTCCTTCCTGACACAATGGAGGGAATGTCCCTCCTATGAAAGCCATGCCTTCCACCAGGGCTTGGGACCCTCTCACCTTCTCAAGGAACTTGGCTCCTGGGGTGGTTCCTTCCTACTGGCCAACCCATCAATACACCACAATAATCTGTTTTCTCCCCCCTTCATAAGACAGGCCGTTGACCTTCTACACCCCTCTCACCTCATGCAATTCAAGTTCTCAAGACTGTCTGCACACATGGTTCCCCACTTCCCTCTCCTCTAACTCCCTCCTCCCTGATCTTGAACCCACTGCCACAAAAGCTATGGAAGCCTCCATCTGTAAAATGTTCTATGAAGTTAAAATTTTATTTTTTGGATTGATTGGTTTTCTTAGCACAGCTGTATTCTACAGCAAGAAAATGAAAAATCTGAAAAGTAATCTGAAGGACGAGGAAGAAAGGGAGGGTAGGAGGACAAACCACAGTTGTTAAAAGACAGAGATATTCAGTTAGCCTACCAAGGATTACTTTTTCTTAAGAAATTTTTAAAAGTTTTAAAATATAAGCTTTTCAGATTATAGCATTAACACAAGACTGTGCTAATTAGACTAATAATGCAATACAACAATGTATGAAAAGCAAAGCTAATCCCCCAATCCCTCAATCACACCCTCCCATAAGAAACCACACATGTCTTCTCCCCTCTTCCTCAATATACCCTGTTCAGCCACCAGTCTGACCCCACTGCTCCTGAAAGTGCTCTTGTCAAGATCACAATGAATACACCCGGTCAAATCCAAGAACTTTTCTTCTTTGCTTATTTGACCAACCACACTGAGTGTTGTCTGCCACTGCCTCCTTCTAACACCCTTCCCTTGATCTCCTGCTCCCCCTTGGTCTGCAGTTTGCTGGCTTTTCTCATACCTCCCTGGCTACTGCTTCTGGGGCTCCCCTGCTGGCCCTTCCTCCAGCAGCTAAGCCCTGGCTGTGGGGCTCCTCGGGGTGCAGTCCTGACCCTCCCTCACTCTACTCCATGTAATTCTGTCCTTGCCCCAGATTTAAACAACACACTTACACTGAAGATGCCCATGTTTCTAACTCCAACTCAGATCTCTCCTTTGAGCATGAGACTCAAATATCCAACTCCATATTTGACATTGCCACCTGGCTGACCATGTAACACGCACAAACTTGACACATCCAAAATATTCGTCCTCCCAAACATGTCCTCCCCGACCCACTGCCAACAACTTGATACGTGGTACCAGTTGCTCAGATTCCAAATCTCAGAGTCATCCTTGATGTATCCCTTCCCTTCTTCCCATCACGTGCAATCCCTGAGTGCATCCTGTTGATTCTACCTTCCAGGTATTTTCCAAACCCACTCTTCCTCACGTCCACAGTCTCTCTCTTAGTCTAGGCCACCTTACGTCTTCCCTGGTCTAATGCTACAGATGTCTTCCAGCAGTCTCTACAGCTGCATCTTCCCCTTCCATCTATTCTCCACAAAATGGCAGATGGTTTTCTTAAGCCAGAACATGTCCCATTCCAGTATAAAACCCTGTAAGGACTCCCACCGCACTTGGGATCCCTAACAAACCCCAACACACCCATGAGGTCCTGCCTTCCCTCTCTCTTACCAGTCCTCTCTCGGGTCTTCTCTGAGGCCAAGCACCTTGTTCTCAGGGTCTTTGCTCTAACACATTTCTACTTGGTTAGTTCCCTTGCATATTGCCTTTATGTTTCCACTGACACAATGCAAGGGCACTCTGGTTGCCCACTCATTTCACACTGTCATTCCTGGCCCTACTTATTTCACTCACGGCCCTTCTCCCATCTTGCAATCCTCATGCTTATTTTCTGTTCACTTGTGTTTTTGGGGGGTTTTTGTTGTTGTTGTTGTTTTTCTTTCTGCTTGTACTCCTCATAAGGGCAAAGACCACAGCTCTCTGGGTCACTGTTTAACACAATGCACAGTACAGAGTAAATTCTTAATAAACACACAGACTGGATGAATGAAAGTGGTTCTCTTCCCCATCCCACCTCCCCACAACAAGGCTGACCAATTTCTGATGGCAGGTGAGGAAGTCACCTGTTGGCAGTTGTACATGCTCTAGAGGAGGAGTGGAAGTCTAGGCAGGGGAGCAGAAGTGGGGCCGCAATGCCCCGCAACACTCCTTGGTCCCTCCTGTCTCTGCAGATTCTGAGCAATGATTCAAAGTCGGCACTTCAACAGTCAAATCTGCAGATTCTCTAGCAAAGCACCAGCCACAGTTTAGAGTATTTATACTCTTCTCTAATCTTTTCCAAATATTTAAATTAGCTCTATGCACATTAAACGTCGGAGCTGAACTAGCTATATCCTATGCAAAACATGGAAGGCTTCAGGGTCCTGATGAAGGCAGCACATACACAGTGATTTTACTTGCAGCCTAAATGGTTTTCTGTTTGAGAGTCAATTTAAGTCATTTAAAGATATGTTTACATGCATATTAATAATGGTATCTACTCATACATACACATGTAGACGAACGCAGCTGGAGGCAAGGGAGGACACAAGGTCGGTCAGCTATGACTTAACTCAGCAGAACCAACTAGCAGACGATTTTAAATGTGTAAGAATTTATATGGGCTGCATTTATCAATACAGCTTGAGTAGATGATGTACATTTCCTTCTTTTGAGACATTAACCAAGGTGAGCGATGAAGCTTTCTCCAGGGTCTTAATAAAGCCACAGCATTTTCTATTAGTTCCTACATGAAGACCTAGAACCACCTACCTCCAGGTACTCAACTGGTGAACTGGGACAACTGGGAAGAAGCTGGCTGAGCTCCTCAGGGCCGTTAGCACCAGCTATGCCACCGTGTGATTAGGGACAACTCATCTAACTTCCCTACACTGCAGCCTCTTCCCCTCGAGAATGGAAATCATGAGAGTCCTGACTGTGTGACGAAAGGAGCAGAGGCACTGAGAACAACGGGCACGCAGCCTGGCGCAGGGTGTGCCCACATCCATGGTCTACCTCCAAGTAACAGCACACTATCCCCTTTCCCTGTCTTTCGCTTTCGCCGGAGTTTCCCAGGCCAGAAACAAGAAGAGAAGCTTCTACAGAAGCTGGGACTTGGTTGAGTACTCAAAATGTATAGAATTTCAGAAAATGCGGTAAAGAAAATGAACAGTACGACGATGGAGCGTGGAGGAAGGAGAGCCAGGCAGAGGTAAGTCTGCCCATGGTGGGAGTTGAGCCTTGACGATGCCGAGTATTTGGGGTGGGGACTTGGGGCAGCGAGGCAGCACTTTTGCGGGGTTGGATGAAAGAGGGCCTCAAGAGTTGGGGAGAGGAGCTCCCACTTGACTCAGACAATGACAATGTCCGCAGCCCAAAACCTGTGTGTGTCCCTGTTTAGTACCCTCACAATGCCTTCTAACTGGCGATATTTTGCCATCATGTTTATCACTATTACAACATTTCTAATCTGCCACTTATACTTAGAGTCAGCACTGGGAATGAACAGAGAATGATCAAGTCTACTTCTCTAAACCCAGGTCAAGGTACACTTGACCCCAATCAAAAGGTTATACTTATGGACATGGAACATGTTTCCTTTCTTCTTCACAGACCAACGAAGTTAGGCCGTAATGGTTTTTCCTCCAGGGAGATCATGGAATGTCTGCAGTGCCAGGTCTATTTTTACTCCATCTCTCATCCATCGGCCATCAGCGTAATGCAGGCAAAGGAGAGGGGAGGGAAGAACTATGTAGCAGGTGGAGAGCCCACACTAAGCTCCTATGTTCTCTTCTCCCCATCTGCCGAGAAGACAGAGCAGAGCAGGAAGCCAAAGAACACTTGTCTAGGTGGCAGCCTACATTAAGACGTACCCCTGGGGTTTAGGGGTGATACTATCACAGAAAAGCAGGAGAAAAATTACTCCAACTCTTTCCTATTGAGCCTTCTCCATACAGAGAAAATCTAAGCAATTTCCAGATTCCAGTTTCTAGATATCCACCTAATCCTATTAACTTTTAATCTAACTTCACCCATTAAGAAGGCAGAAATGATGGACAGACACTGGAATGGGTGTACTTGTCTAAGAAGAAGCAACTGAGAAGGTCGCCTGCTTTGGGCATAAAAGTGTCTTTCCGGGTTCACTGCACAAGAAGCCAAGGTCTTGGGTTAGCACTGCCAAAATAAACCTGAGGATATTCTTCTGAATTTGAGTTTGAAGCAACCTGATACCCGAACTGGTATTAGTGCCAACCTGAGAAAAGATCTTGGGGGAAGCCCAGCAGAGATAAGATGACAAAAGCAAAACCATAAACACTTCAAGTTTTAGTTCACTTTTAAGTGGAGTTCCAAGCTGCCGTGTAGGGACCAACATTTAAGACTTACATAAAACTCCTCTGATTAAACTATAATGTATGTATGTATTTGTATCTGAATATATCATATATGATCAACCAAATGGATAAGGAAATGAGAATCTCATTAACATGCAACAAGGAGATTAGAAGTGAACACTAAAATAAATCATAGTATTTATAAGCAATTTTTAAAATGTATTTTGGGCCCCTCGTGTCTCCCCTTTCACAAAGAGTATTTTATTGTTTAACAGGTTCTGCAAGTATTTACGAAGTAATCGCTGGATACTTACATGATGCAGAAACGTATTTTTAAAGGTAAGCAGACATAGAAACTTAGAAGCCTTTTAGTCTAATTTATTTTAGAGGTGAAAAAACAGTAACTGAGCTATGGAGAGTGCAAATAATTCATCCTGATAACAAAGTGTGCAGATTAGCACAGCTCTGGAGTTCTGTCAATTACTTTTACACTGTTACCTTTGTTCAAACACATTGATTTTTGGTTTCCTCATTTGTAAAATGAGAGGTCTCAACTATATGAACCCTAATGTATATGCAACTGGAAAGCATACAACTTTGTCTGCAGCCCAAAAACATAGGGAAGTGGAAGAATAGATCACCTAGGAACAAGCAAAGAGGCGGCTATGAAATTAGAGACTTGACCCCCTCCCCAAAGGCTGATGCATGCCATGCTTCCATTCTAATGAGCAGGTCCTGCAAGGATGGCCCGTGTCCACGTCCTTCACAGGAGGGGTGGTTGGGAGTTGGCTTTCCCAGGCAAGAAGACTCTAGCACGGAGTCGAACGTCTGGAGAGCCATGTGGACCTAGCTTACCTGGTTTCTTCATCCTCCCCGAGATAACCCCTTACATTTCATCTTGACTCTAATTCTCAGAGTCCCATGTTGCCTTGCATCACACTTCTGCTAAAGTTAATACCAAAATTCAAGAAATACATATACTCATGTTCTGGAAGCAATATTAAAGGTCTTTCTTCATGGGAGAAGAGCCTCTTTTAAAGGGTGCTTCTTCGTAGTACATGATTTCTGCTGTCTGTAATTATAATATTTGAATATTCACCTTTTTCAGTCTTTGTTTTTCTAATCCTGATCCTGAGGTTTAGGTACTGGATTCCTTGGTCTCAGGGTCCACACACACAAAAAATTTTTTTTAGATATTTATTTATTTATTTGAGCGAGCGAGTAATCGAGCGGGGGGGGGGGGCGGTGGGCGGGGAGAGAGGGAGGGAGAAGCAGGCTTCCCGCTGAGCAGGGAGCCTGATGCAAGGCTCAATCCCAGGACCCTAGGATCATGACCTGAGCCGAAGGCTGTTGCTTAACCAACTGAGCCACCCAGGTGCCACATCCACACCAAAAATTTTTGCTGAAGTCCTGCTTTGTCTTGTGTGACAGGTTGCTAGTTGTCTCCCAATGTCTATTCCCCTTTCTCCTCCATAAAAAGACCCAAATTTTTAGCTGCACACATTTTTTTCTGGAACTACATCTCTAACCCTTACTGCACTAGGTGTGGCCAGACGAGTACTTTTTCACCAGTAAGATGAAAGCAGACAGAATACATGTCACCTTTAGCAAACATGCTTCTAAGATAGCTGGCATGCACCTTCCCTCCCCCACCTCCATCGTCTTCCCTACTGCTGCCTTCCTGTCGGCTAGAAAGTGGGTATAATGTGGCTGGATGGCCAGCAGTGTTGGAGGGCCAGGAAAAGACACTGGGAACCGAAGCAACGGGTGAGGAAGCAGCAAGAGAGCAGGAGCTTGGATTCTTCGAACCTTAGATACCAAGTCGGCCCTGGACTGATTCCTCCTGTGCTTCTTTTCTGTGGGAGGGAAATAAACGTCTCTCTTCTTTAAGTCATGGTTATTTTGATGTTTCCTGTTGCTCACAGCTGAATCTAATCTGAATAACATACCTTGAGATTCAGATTAATTTTTATTTTTTTAAAGATTTATCCCTTTATTTAAGAGAGAGAGAAGTGGGGCCAAGGGATAGGGAGAAGCAGACTCCACTCTGAGCATGGAACCTGATATGGGGCTCGATCCCAAGACCCTGAGATGGTGACCTGAGCCAAAACCAAGAGTTGGGCGCTTAACCAACTGAGCCACCTGGGTGCCTCAAGATTCAGATTAATTTTTAAAAACAAAAAAAAATTATTAAAATGACAAAAGATAAGTACCATTTGTACACATACCATTATTCATAGATGATACCATGCTACTGATTCAGTTATAACAAGAAGGAAGTTACTTGCTACTTTGTTTTCTATAGGATAATGAAATAGGACATTCTTTTCCCAAGATAGTTTTCTAGCAAGGAGCTGGAGCTAAAACTGTTAGCAGTTAGCTGAATTGTTTTCAGTTAACTGAAATCGACCCACCTGCACATCAGCAAAGCTCAGTAACCTGCAACTTTTTATGGATCTCAAAAGCCATGACTCTTAGAACAAGGGAAACAAAATTTGAATCTATTTAAGTGGCTTTATTACGGAGGACAGTAAGCTCAGTATTATCTGTAGACATCTGATACACTGTAATATACAGATTAACAAATGTAATATAATTTGTAATGTACAAATTACAAATTATGTGTGTACTAAGGATGAACAAATCTCCAGTGAGTATAGTTGTCACCTATGGTACTGAGTTTCCACATAGCCTGATCTCTGACATTTAGGGCCTCTAATACAATAAAGAATAATAAACCTAGACGGCCTTCTAGGAAGTGAATCTGAGCCATTCAAATAGAATCAACACCTGTTAACTCATTAACATCTCAGCAAAATAAGCTGAGCAAATATGCCTGCTGCTGAGTCACCACCGTGTCCCGGGAGAGCCAAGCAAAGAGGGCTTCTTTTTTCCTGGCTGCCCTCCTCAGGCTCTCAGTCACCAGGGTGGGTTCAGCGGTCTTCCTGGCCCCCATCTCCATGCAGATTCCATTTCCTCAGCACAGTTCAGAGAAGCTCTGAGCAAGGTCAGCACAGGCCTGGCTTTCACCCACGTTGCCACAGTGAAGCCTCACAGGAGGCTCAAGAGACCTCCCCAGGCTTCTCATTATGGGGACTGACTGCTCAATGCTCAAGGCCACCTTGTGATTTTTACTGGAAAAGGGTTACATGTTTGCAGGTTGCTGCAAAGTGATGTCCTTTTTAAAACACGGAAGAGGATTTATTTACAGTGGTATGAGGATGGCACTGACTTGGGCCCCCATAACTTATTTCTCTATTATAAGACAACAACAAAAAACAACTCTTTAACAACCTTTACAGTCAAATTATTTTAAGATGGCTGATACCAAAAGGGGAAAGAGACATAAACATGTACCCTCTGAATAAAACATTATACCCTCAATCTAGAATGCCTGCACGACAAAGAGAGTTCTAAAGAAGGGTGGGAATCTGTTTATGCAAGAATATGCCTCTATGAAACATAATATTTCAAGTAACTGGGATGCTCAGGCACTAAATCATCAAGAACAACTTAAAGCAGTTTCCTAATCATATGCAAGCACAGTGACCCCTCAAAAAGTTCTTTTTGAAAATGTTCCCCCAGTCACTCTTCACTAACATTTCTGAAGATTTCTGACTGGTACCTGCGAGAACACAGCGCTACAGAAAAACATGATCACCAATTCAATGGTCAGCTCACTGGGGATGTGCATGAGTCAATATTCAAAAACTAGATGTGCCATGAGCTCAGCACAGAAGTTAACAAATGTTAAAAGACTAATTAATGTTCTGAGAACATGTTCTCTGAATGGCAAAGCCTGTGTAAACTAGCAACCACAAACCAGTTATCACCAAGGTTAGAAAAACCTACACTAAATTAAAGAAAAAAACTCCCACTCCCTCTACCTCAAGGCATCTTAGTAAACCCAAAGAATTACTTAATTTTAACATTTCTTTTCAGTTACCCAGCAAACCACCTTTGGGATGATCCTGGTGTTTCATATGCATTACTACAGGCAAACCTCAGCAAAGTCCCTACTGAGCATAAGAAAACAGGAATCAAGATGATTCTTACTATTTTCATACTATACTGTTTGCTTTCACCCATAAGATGGACCTTCCTTCCAATTTATTGTCTTTTATGAAATGTGGAAACTGTCGATAATGGAGTTTATTCACAGTACACTCCGTTCACTGTTCTTTTTCAGGTCTATAAATTTTGTTTTTCATTTGGGGAGGAAAAAAAAGCCAATCTCTCAGCCTGGCTGGACAAAAATGAGATACTGAGAAACCAAAAAGTGTACTTTGCTCCACTATGTCTCATGCCACGTTCCACCACAGTGCAAACATTACCCCATCCACTAACGACAAAAGGCAAGCCCACTGCACGGGATACGGAGGGCATGATTCCCTCCTTGAATTTGCGGTGAAATTATGAAATTAACCTGCCCCGAGAAGGCAGAGGCAGTCTCTGAACGAGGGTGGTGGCAAAACTGGTCAGGAGTCTCATGGGGAGCTAGGGATTCCGGAAGCCCCCACCCTCCTGTGTCTTCAACACTGCAGCTCTGACTGAAGGCTGCACCCTGCCCTTGCTCACTCACAGAACACCCTGGCGGTGTCTGACCTTTCAGATCTGTATGTCTCAACTTTCCAGTCTGACTGTAAATTTCCCAGGGTCAATGCCTTGTGTCTAGAAATTCTCTGTATTCAAACAGTACCAGCGGCACTGAAGGTCAGGTCATACTTGTTGACAGACTAAATTTAACTACCATGTCCCTATTATTTCACGTTTGTTTAAAATGAAACACATTACTGATTATAAAGGTAGACAGTTTTTTTTCAGGTAAATCACTTATCACCAAACTTATTTTATGAATGTAATTTCTAATGTTCAGTATTTCAGCTTCTTTTTAAAAAGAGGGGCGCAGAGGTTCTAATCAATATTATGTGGACGTATCATTCACAACGAAAAAATAAAGACAGGATTAGTCAACTGCAGATTTGATAACCTTATCTAAAACTAAATTTTTATGTTACCCCCCCCCCCGATTGGAAGAGAAATGAACAGTTTTTCAAGGATCTGATTTTCAAAATTATATTCCTGATACAGATCAATTTTCCACCCGCAGCTGTAGTCAGGAACGGGTAAAGGTTATACGGACAGTTTTGTTCTATGTCTGCCAGCGAAATATGACACCATATCCTCCAAGACCTCCCACCCCTCCCCCCCACCCAAATTCAAGATGCGCTGGGTCCTGGGTGAATGTACAGCACGCAAGAATAGTCCTCTGTCGTTTATTTAGCCACATGTTTCTCTGACCTTCTCTTTCTCCCTGTCCTGGTCTATCTTACCAGCTA